TGGATTGATCAAGTTCAAACTTCAAACACACATGGTACATCATGTCACAAATAGATATGTGCATTTGTTTCATGATCTGCTTAACAATAGCGGAATGATGGCCATTTTAAGGCCAAAAATGCATCAAAATCACGTATTTTCACAATTCCAGAACCGGATCTCAGGCATGCATGGATGGATTTTGTTCAGATTTAGCACAATGTGTTGTACATATGCAGGTGCATTTCGGTCATGATCTGCTTTGAATGTATATGTCACTCAAATATGAACGGAACGGGGACGTGTCATTGACAATGACTTGTTTTTTCCTAATCACTTTGGAAATATAAGCCTATGCACAGTCTTTTGGAATTAAGAGCTAAATATTATGCATTGTCAGTCGTGAATTCTGAATGTTCTCTGTTCCAATGTATGTCAACTTGTAGGAGGTTATGTTATGTTATATGGAAGACCCATTTCTGGCTAAATTTAATTAAAATTAAAAATAATTAAAATTAATTAATTTTTTCCAACTGAAATCAACACTTGAAGGGTGGCAGTCGTCGCGCTGCACATGTGTGAAATTTGTGTTGATAAACATTGATTTTTCCCACAATCCAATGCGCTCTTCTAATGGTACACAAGTATGAGATTTTACCTGGGCGCGACTTGTACTAATTACCGCCGGCGACTCTTTCGATACCTTCCAATCACCTAAAAATACCTAATTAAAGCTTCGTAACGTCTCAGTTTGTACTCGATGATCTGGGCAACAGTCACAATCGCCATCTTTGTTTATACGAGACCCATATGTCTCCACATGCATGGTGCGACGACTACCGCGCTTTAACTGAGTGCTTATTAAAAACAGTTGGGTGTATAGTGTTGACACAATTCTCAGGTAATATTCATAACATTGCCAGGGGGTCTGAAGTGGGTGGCAAATGCAAAAAATAAACTTGCATATTTCAATACAACTGTCATCTAGATTAACACACACTGAGTTTCTTTCAAATGTATTTTTTTTTTTCCCAGTTGAATATATACTGGGGTAAGTGGTGTTCGTGGTCGTGGTGGGTATGTAAGCGCTACAGGTACCAGCACTTGTTAATTACTAGTGTATAGTTAATCACAACTTTTTGCAGTCATGCCTGTTTTTTTTTCTAGCTTGGCATGAACATCACATATGTTACAGGGCGGGAGGCTGTCGTGGATGATAATAACGCCATTGGCGGATCTCCGCAGCCAATCATCATATGACGCGCAATAAACGGACACCCACGTTTTTAGGTGATTGGAAGGTATCAAATGAATCACTGGCGGTAATTAGTGCAAGTCGCGCCTAGGTCAAACCTCATACTTGTGATTTCCATTTGAAGAGCGCATTGGATTGTGGGGAAAATCAAATGTCGCTGTTATGTAAGTTACTGAAACACATCAGTTTGCTAGTCAAACTTTCAGATGATATTGATGACTGTTGATTTGTGTTCTGTTCATTTGTCCATCTATGCGCAATGCACATGTGCAGAGCAACGACCGCCGCCCTTTAAGTTAGTGAAACACATCAGTTTATCTATGCGCAATGCCCGACTACTGTGCACATACTATTTCTTTGTTCCGAACAGATTATTGTTTACATGTGTTGACCGTAGAGGGCACTGTGAAGAATTTTCTTTTCTTGTCACTAGAGGGCACTTTCAAGAATCTACATTGACATCATAGAAAAACAAATTGGCCATACTTGTTTGAATTATTAAAGAAGAAATATGATGTCAACCTGTAAACCAGTATTGCATGATAAAAATACAAAATATGAATAAAAATATGTAGTATAAACTAAAACATATTTTATTTTGTGATTCAATTCAATTAGATTTTAAGCATTAAATTGAAGCAGTTCCCGAGAGGAAATTTTCTTCAAACTTAGTATGGTGATCATGCTCATTGGTTAAAGGATGGTAGTATTTTACACGCATCGTGTACGCTGCTATGAGTCTCATTACAGGCAACAGCGCGATCTTAAAGCGCGGTGGCCGTCACGCAGAGCGTGTTCGAATTTCATGTAAATAAACAATGTATTTTACACGCATCGTGTACGCTGCTATGAGTCTCATAACAGGCAACAGCGCGATCTTAAAGCGCGGTGGCCGTCACGCAGAGCGTGTTCGAATTTCATGTAAATAAACAATGTATTTTACACGCATCGTGTACGCTGCTATGAGTCTCATAACAGGCATCAGCGCGATCTTAAAGCGCGGTGGCCGTCACGCAGGGCGTGGTCGAATTTCATGTAAATAAACAATGTATTTTACACGCATCGTGTACGCTGCTATGAGTCTCATAACAGGCATCAGCGCGATCTTAAAGCGCGGTGGCCGTCACGCAGGGCGTGGTCGAATTTCATGTAAATAAACAATGTATTTTACACGCATCGTGTACGCTGCTATGAGTCTCATAACAGGCATCAGCGCGATCTTAAAGCGCGGTGGCCGTCACGCAGGGCGTGGTCGAATTTCATGTAAATACACAATGTATTTTACACGCGTTGTATCCGTCGCTGTGAGTCCCAAATCGAACAGGACGCTGCACGACGACTGCCGCCCTTTAATGGTAAATACGAATACGAGTTTTGAACTGCGTGCGATGTGGACTAAATACCGACTTTTGTGTATTCTGCTATGCGTTCGAGTCACCAAGGGCATTTGTTAAACATTTGTAACGTCTTCTTTTTATGCTTGTTGATTTGCGAAACTCCCACAGTCGCCATCTTGGTTCAGATGGGATCTCGCGCATGCGTGGCGTGAAGGTTACCTTGCGGGCAGTACACCTTTCATTTCACTATGATTTGGCAATACACGGACGGGTACTTGTTTTTCCAAACTCTTTTATTTAGTGTAGTTACGCAGTACACACTGTATTAGATATAGTAGGTAAGCTATAAATCGAGGCTAAACTTT